TAGCAAAGTCTCAGCCCAGGCAAAATGTTGTTTGGCCTGTATTTTATTCCTTGCATCCACACACACATTGAAACTGAAGTTAAGAAAATGAGTGGTGAAGTAAAAATTATGTGGTTTATAGTGTATTTATTATAAATTATAATATAATTTACATTATACATTTATAAGATAATATACCAGTGGTTTAAGGGGAACTCTCAGTGAGTCTGGTGGTGTGTACCAAAGTTGGAATTAATAACCTCAGGGACTGGAGTGTAGGTGAGTGTTCAGCATGGTGTGACTGGATCCTTCAGATTTTTAATTCTTTAAATTCTTCTTTTCCTTTGTGAGCCTGGTGACAAACCTGTCAAAAGAGCTTTGCAGTTTTAAGGAAAGAAGAAAAAAAACCCAACCAAACAAAACCTCTGTCTCACAAAGCCCTGTCTCTTCAGAGTTTTCTTCTGGGCTATAAATTCAGTGCTAGTTGTCTCACAAAAAATGTACAGAATCTCCATGTTTCAGTCTCCTATAAAGAAAAAACACAAAGCAAAAATGTTGAGGGAAAAAATAAGTAGAACAGGACATGTCCTTCTTTGGAGTAAATATGTGGAGGAATTAAAGGATCTTCAAAAAGCCATTTTTTAAAATAAAATGCCAGTGTTTATGTTGATAATTGATTAGAGACAGGAGAATAGACAGGTGGGTGGTGGAAGTATTAACCAAAAATATCTAAACCCAGACTTTAAAAGAGTGTTCTGTCTGCAATCACGTGAATGCTGTGTTTTTGGATGCTGACAAGGAAACAGCACAACCTGCCTTACTTTTTTTCCTTGTTACAATATCACACTTGGGTTGTCATCAAATTGTTGTTAACTCAAATTGTCAGGAATTCAGCATCATGTGTGAGTCATGAAAGGGATTAAAGCTGTATTTTGAGCAAGGCTTGTGCCTAACTGTGCTTTTTCTCAGCAGAAGGGAAAAGTACTTTAAAAAAACAATTGCTGCCCTAGTTCAAGCAGCAGTCAAAACTGCTTTAGAGGAGAAACTCAGGTACTTATTTTTATAGGTAAAATGATAGTGTCAAAGAATCTATCTTGCAAAAACCCCTGGTATTACTGGTTTTGTTTTTTTTTCATTTTAACTATGTCCCTTCAACCAGCCATATATAAAACCTATGAAAAATGAAAAACCTTAAGGGAGATTCTCAAGAGCACATGAGAAGTCTGTAAGCTGCGACCTGTGACTGCTTCCTGTCGAATTTCAGTCCTTCAGCTGGAAGAGTTGGGAATTTGAGTCTGAGGATGACCCTACAGAGCATTTCAAATGTGTTTTTGGGCTGTGGGTTGCTTGCTATAAGGACACCAGAGAGATGCTGCTGTCTGTGATGGGTGGTGGCTCTCATGTTGTCTCTACAGGTGATTGTAAATGGGAGATGATGGTTCTGGTTGCACTGAAAAATACTGTTTTTTGTTTTGCCATTTGTCTCCTTTGAAATGTCTGCAGCCCAGATCCACTTGGGTTGTAATGTCTTTTGATCCCAGGGGCTGAATAAAACCAGGCCAAGTAATCCCTGGGAACTGCTGCAACCAGAATTTTTAGGGAGCAGGGAAATTCAGCTAATGCTTTCCTCTGAATCAGTGCCATACCTGGTATGGTTTTTTGGCTGCTTTTCATGCCTCCTGCTTTTAATAGTCCTGAGCCAGAGCTCCAAAGATGTTCAGAAATCCAGGTTTGATTGCTGTAGGTTTTTAAATGTTTTAAATGGGGAGAGTTGTCCTCAGCTTCACAGGCTTTGCCATTTCCAAGGTGTTGCAATGAAATTTGGCATTTTGTTTCTTTGTCCAGGTTATGGAAAAGAGGATCAAGCTTTTCCCACTAGACTGGAAATAGGTAGCCCTCAGTGCTGTTGTTTGTGCTTGTTAATGTAGGCTTTACCATCTAAGTGTTCCCAAAATTTAATCCCATGGAATGGGGCCATGAGGATTGCCCTCTGTGAGAAACATTCCCTGGAATGATTGTTTCCCCTTCCTACAGAATTTCACATTGGAGAAGAATGATGGAAAACCCAGGATTTTAGTATGCTTACAAAATGTTTAATGGTCTACTGCTCTGTTTAGAAGTAACCATCTCTAGTTATAAAGTCACGAAAGACAGCACTGACTCCTTGAAGAGAAACTTTATATTTCATATTTATATTTATTTATATTTGGGTTTGGTATTCACACCTCAGTTTCTCCCACCTGGTAATTAGTTAATCAGTATGTAAGTAAATGTAGTGATGAGATTATCTGTTGAAGGAGATCGAAGAAATAATGAGGTGGAGAATAAGGTAAATTCATTTGTGTTTCACTTATTGGTCCTTTTAAGAACCAAGTGAAAGATAATTGCACTCAGCTTTCCTTTGTGTGTGCCATCCAGAGATTTTTTGAGTATGAACCAAATAGATTAATTTTATTAATTATATTTCAGCATATATGATGTATAATAATTTATAATATATGATAATTAAATTTATTAATTATTCAGAAGCTTTTTAGTTATTTGTGCCCCTTGACTTTGATATTTTGCAGGCTATATGGTATGAAACAGTATAAAAGTATATCAGCAAGTGGATTAAAAAATTAATCTGGTTCACATCAGGTCTAATTGTCAGCATTTGCTCATTCATGGTATTTCACTTGATAGACCATAGAATCATGGGATTGGAAAAGGTCTGAAATACATTTGTGAGTTTTGCTTCAATAAGGAATTCTTGAAGATATTTGGCAAAATGAATTAGTTTTTACAAAAGTTGTTTTTAGTGCTGTGCTTGGGACTACAGAGTAAAAACAGCCCATGAAAGAAAAACATGTCCTTGGTCAGGAACATGTGCCTGTGTGTATGTTTTGGCTCTGCCTCAACAAAAGTGTGCCCAACTTAAAGAAGGTGAGTAATCTTGTTTGGTTGGGGAGGAGAACACTTAAGTACCCTGAGATGAGAGCACTCACAGCTTGGTGTTAAAGCCTCACAGGAGGCTAAGAATGAAAGAAAACAAGATGTTCTTCTGATTAAGACTGATGTCCACCTTCAGAGCTTTATCTGCAGAACATCTCAGCAGTCAGGGAGTTACACAACTTGAAGGTGTTTAACTCTACTATATTGCACCTTCGAATTTATATTTTCTTCTCTGTATGTAAATGGTGTTTTTAGTTAAAGCAGTTTCTACTTGAAAGGCCTGGATCACTTGATGTAGCTAGGTGACTCCTGAATGGCACATCAGTCCTTGGATTTTGTTAGTGATTGGAGTAGTTTGGCATTTTGTTGGTGGAAGGAGAGATCTGGATTTCCTCTGGATTAGAACACGTAACTGCAATTGACTTTAATGGGAATTTTATGAAGGCTGAGATAGTCCTGTAATCTGGATTTCTGCACTGCACAAAGAGAACCTGAATTCCATTCACCAGGTCTGCTGGGTTTGGCAAACACGGGAAAACCTGGATTCCTCAGTATTTGCTGTGATACAGCCTTGGGAAGGTTCAGAATAGAGTTTCCTGGAGGAATTGCCATCTTAGCTGGTCACAGCCGTGATTTTCTGCCTTGGCAGCTCTTGGGGCAGCAAAGGTGTTTGTTGTTTTTGTAGAGCAACAGGGTTCCAGTTGTGTTTAGCACGTGTGGAGCAGACTTTGAATCCCTCTTCATTTCATCACCTTCTACCTTCAAAAACCCCCTTTGGCCAGCAGTATAAAACTGAAACAAACTCCTCAAAATTCTCTAAGATAAGCAAATGCTGCCCCTGACACTAAATTACTGACACTGCTTATGGACTTAGAAGAAACAGTGCAAAATTACACTGTCACTTGCACAAAAGCATGATGTATTTTTCCAGGGCTTAGTCGAATCTCTTGCTTAAGATAATGAGTCTAATGAACAATATGAATATATTGATATAATAATATCATATATATATATAATACAATATATAATGATGAATAATAAGCCCACCTGCTGATTGTGTTGATTAGGTGGGAAGGTAAACTCCTTGTCTAATGAAAAGCTGTTTGTGAAGCCAGCTTGCTTTTGGCATCTTTCTTCACCTGGTTTAACAGATAAAGAAAATTTCTCCACACCTTGTAATTCCAGCCTTTTGTCTTCTGAATATATGGCCATTTGAAAGTTTTGTCTTTTTTACTGCCTCTGTACATGGAAGTGGATGGGAGTCACCAGAGCCCCTGAGCAGCTTTCCCAGCTGACTGAGCTTACTCCAAACTGGAGATCTGAGTTTATCCTCCCAAGAACTCCTTCCAGTTCTCCCCCTGAGGAGTGCCTCAGAGGCAGATTTTTCTCACCAGATGCTAAATTATCATTTATCCCAGCTTGAAGGTGGCTGTTCTGCCACTGTTGCAGTCAAAGCACGTGAACAGGCAGACAAGCAACCCCTCACTGAAACCCATGGCAATGCAATCCAGCAGCTCTGCACAAACAGCCAAAGGGTTTTGCATCTTTGACTGGAGGCAGCCAGCAGTCAAGAAACTGTGCTGGTCTACAGCCAAAAGAAATAGGGAATTCCCTCAGGTTTTTTTATTTTTTTATTTTTTCCCTGAAGTGATTAATGGGGGCATAATCAGGTTTGGTTCCATATTAATCAGTGCAGTTTGGATATTAAAATCCTCAGTTCTGTGGCTGACGCTTCCCAGGATGTTCTCAGGGTTGCATTACGCTGTGGTTGGTTGGGTTACAGTCCTGGCAGCAGGATCAGGTGAATGGAGCAGTTTTCCCTGCAAGTGGAAGCTGCTCTTTTCCCTTAGTTGGAGTTGGGATGGATGGAGTAGTCTGCCTTTTCCTGCTTGGGAGTTTCTTCCTCACACAGGAGCCACTGGAAAAAGAAAAGGAGCAGCAAATCAGCTTAGCCAGTGGTACAATTGTATCCAGCAACTGCAGCAAGGATCAAGATCTGTTTTGCTTTCTAGGTCATCTGAACTGTAAAAATTTTCTTCCTTTGGTGCCTTCTTCAATCCCTGACATAAACACTTTTGTCTTTCCAGTGCCTGTAATAACCATTGGGATACTCAAAGAATCCCTTGGGAGCTGAAGAGGCAGCATCTTCCAGGCTCAGGGGCATCACATCTGGTGAGATACATACATGTGTCTTTTTTCATGCTTTTCATGCCTTTTTTGTTTTACCTGGAGCTGTATTTTGTTCAGCTGAGACAATTTCTATCACCAGCTGCGCTTTGGTGTTAGCTTATTTTGCTTTGAAACTCCAAGTCTGGTATGGAAAGAGGTTGTTTTGGGTTAGTGATCAGCCTGATTTAGAAGACACCTTGTGGTAGTCCTTGATCAAACTGACTGCCAGGAATTACTTGTATATTTGGGAATTTTCCACCCCGATCCTTCCTTGTTTTTTTTGTTCCCCCAGTGTTTTGCACACTAAGGATTATAAATTAGTATGTGCATGGTATTATAGCTCCCTAAAACACTGAGAAATTTTTCCATGTTGTGGCTGCAAATTCACCTCCTGGTTCCTGGAAGTGGCCTGAATGGGAAAAGGGATTTTTTTCCCTTGGGAAGGTCTAACTCCTGTGTCGCTGTCATTAACCCTACACATGCTCATCTGAGGGAATGAGGTCAGCTCAACAGCCTCTCCAGGCTTTCCTTGGGTGAAAGTTATGAATATGGAGACCATTATGTGTCATTAAGATAATAATGTTGCTGAGTGTGCCAGTCAAGTCAATGACTCTCCATTCCCCCAGGTGTTCTGGTTTTAGTTTGATAGGGACACGTAAAAATGAAATTCTGCTTGCCAGGTGGGAGGAAATTTGCCTTTCAAAAGATTGTTGATAGGAGTCTTGCTAAGCAATGATGGTAATAATAATAATAATAAATGTTCCCAGGCTGCACTTTTTATATAATTGCTGTTTAGACCAAATTGCTGTGAGGAAACTCCAGAATTCTGGCTGCACAGGTGGAGGTTATGATGTCATGTGCAGCAAATTCACCGATTCAAAAGGATGGGATTTATAGATTTATATAAAATAGTAACACAAATGCAGAATTTTAGTCTTGGTGAAAGCTAAGGAAAAAAAAAAAGGATGCAAAATGTAAAGTGAAGCAGTCAACCATGATGGGGAGGTGAGGAAAGGACTTGCCTTGAAGGGTTTCTCTGCTTGTTGAGCACCACTCTGGGGTGGCTGCTGCTGTCAGGGGCTGTGTCTTGCATGACCTGAGCTTTTCCTGTGAGGGGAAGGTTTGTAAACATCCCAAGAAGTTATGGCCACGCATGTGGTAATGCTGGTGGCTCTTGCATTCACTTTTAGTGAGTTTCTGTCTCTCAGTTCTGTTTCCTCATCACCTTTTCTCTCATTTCTGGTGTTCACAGGCAGGTTCAAGTGGCCAAGCACAGAGTTCATGTGGTCAGCTGTACCCTGCCTGCTCTTCTGGTCCCTGGTTATCACAGATTGTGTCAGGAGATGAGGGAAACAAGAGGCAGGGTGAACCAGGAGGATAGAAACCTAAAACTGAATTTGCTTGGCAATATTGGCTCCCAAACACTTCTTTTTTCATTTCCACATGGATCTATAAAGGCTCCAGTTTCAGTCCTAGGGAATAATTAAGCCTTAAGCCGTGATAAACAGGGCAATATTCAATTAGTGAGCTGCCCTGACAAAGGCATGTCAAAAGTAAATTGGTGTTTTTTGGGGCTGTTAACCGTGCTGACAGAGGGTTGGTTAGTTCTTAAAGGATAATGTTTTGGGCAAATTCCCAGCCTCCAAATGCCTGCAGGCAGACTTGTCCATATTTGTGGTATATTTGAGGTCTAGTGCTTCTCCTCTGGGCCATATATCTTAAGAGGGAATTTTAATGGAAGGAAACATTGCTGCAGAGCAGCAGCCTTCTCTGAAAGACTTTCCAAAAAAACTTTAAGGCCAAAGGTTTTGTTTTTTCAGGGCAAAAGATGTGAATCCTTTAATATTTACTCAGTTATAAATAGTGATGGGCAAGGCTGTGAGGGTGGATTCCTGGGAGATTGTATCAGGGATGGTTATTCCCCAAACTAAGCAAAGGCAGTGGTTGTCTTTTAATTGTTGCATCTTCTTTGGCAGAGAGAACACCATTATTAAACAGATAGCAAATAATTATAATAAATTTGAGGTTTTCACTCCTCTCTTATTTCTCTCCAGTCCCAACAGGAACCAAAATATATCTTATTTCCAGTAAGGGATGGCAGTTTAATGCTGGGGGGAATGTTCATGGTAAATGTTTTGGTTCTCCAGCCGTGGCAGGGGAAAAGTGCAACCCCATGGGGAAAGAACTTACCTGGTGCTGCTCTTGACCAGCTGGGCTTGGACAGGGAGCTGCATTTCATTTATCCACACCTCTCTTCCCCCATCTGTAAATAGGAGGGAAGATTATAACTTTTCTTGGGGAGGAGCTGTTTGAAAATGTTGCTACTTTCCACTGAAAGCTAAATCTGCTGGTGTCATTGCTAATAAATGGGTGAGTGTTATCTAATTCCATGAACAGCTTGGTTTGCCTGCCACAGTGAAATCCAGCCTGTCACAGTGTAGGTCTGGTAAAGTTCAGAATGCAATTTATGCATCACCAAAGAGTAAACATGAAACCCAAGTGAGACAAAAGCCTTGCTGAGGAGCCTGAAGGCCAGATCCTCCCTAGGTGCTGTGACACTTGCAAACAGAAACAAAGCATATCTGATGTGTTTTTACAGCCTCACAAGACTGCTGGACCACTGGACAGCCCTGGTGTATTCCAGGCACCTGCACCACCCACCTGCATCCCCAGGAAAATAATGCCTAGCTGCAAAATTCTGCAAAATAAATGTACAGTGTTATTTCTTGGAGGAGGAATGCAGATTCTCGTTTGCTTTTTGATTTTCTGTATCAAGAGTAAATGTAAAGTAACTGAACTGACTGGAAAATGTTTGCTGGTAAATACTAAATAATAAATGTTTGGTAGTAGCTGAGACCTCAAATAGCAAGAAAAAGCGTTTTTGAGACGTTGATGTGCTTTTGTGTAGGTACCAGAGGAAAAAAAAAGGTAAATATATTAATACTTAATAATATAATAAGCTAATAGTTTTAATTTTTATTAATACTAATAGCTATTAGGTATCTTTCCAGAATCTTGCAGTTGAACATTTATTTCTATTGATGTAAGACAGGTATTTAACTCTTCAAAAAGTTATAGCTGGACTCTGTAGGATACTCGAAACTTTTGAGAACTGAAGAGACACTGTAACCTTCTGTATGCTATCTGTACCCCAAAAAATTAAAATTAATTACAAAAAAAAAAAAAAGAAAAACCAGCTGAACCAACAAAAATAAACTAACACACACCAAAACAAAACCCACAGAGATTAAATGACAGAATTGCTGCTTTTTTTTTTGGTGGCTGTTGGTACTATCATTTATGCTAAAGCATTCCAGCCAAGGGCATGTGGCTGCAGTGGAATTTGATGTACAATCAGTTTTAGGGAACAGCCTGTGCCTTGTTAATATAATCCATAAAAGGCTTCCAAACTTCCTGAAACCAGTCCCTTCTGTTTCCAAGTCTGCATATGATCTCATAGGAAATGATCTGGGAGAGGCCAGCTAAGCCTTTTGCATAATCAAGGTAGCATTGTTCTTTTAATGCCTGAAGTGAGTTGTTTCACTGATAGAAACTCAATAATCCCCTTTTCTTCTGTCAACAAATCTCTGTTATCGGGCTCTGCAATGATTCTGGTGGCACTGCAAAGGAGAGTTAAGTGGGAAGGCTGAAGTGTGACTTGAAGACTTACCTCAATAATGTCATTCATTTACTTTGTCACCCCTTTCAGAAATCCTAAACCACTTGCTGCCCAGTGAAATTGGGAAGAACTGAAATGCAAATATGTAACACAAGTGGGCAAGGTTCATTTTGCAGTGGGCTCAGGGGCAGGCAAGCAGCCTGCAGCTGGCCAAGTTTCATAAATGGCAGTAGTAGCAAAACAGAGAGGAAGATACCTGCCCTTTGTGTAGGTTTGATAAGAGTAAAACCTGTCAGATGTACATTAGCAGTAGAAAAAGTGGTTTTTTTTATTGGAGCCATTGAAAATCTAGCTTTTTTACACAAACCCAGAGTGCCTCGTGCAGTGCATTTTCTTTTATATCCTTGGGATACCCAGGATTTCCTCAATATATTTAGCCCAAGAAGGGAAACACTCCAGTGAGCTGCTGTCCCTGAAAGCCTTGTACGGCAGCGAGCCCCAACCTTCCCTGGCAGGGCAGGGACAGCAAGAGGCTCTGCAGAGCACAATTATGGTCCAGCTCACATCAACAGGCACCAGCTGCACTGCTAGTGAAGTTACAGTGAGCCTGAGCAGAGGGCTCTGTGGCAGAGTTGTTAAATTTGGCACTCTGCTCTGGGCTCCAGTCAAACATTTTCTTAACCATATTAGGATACGTGGAAATTGGCCAGCCAGCAATGGGCCTTCGATGTTCTTACTGCCTGTGCTCATATTTTATAGAGTGGGCAGCCACTGCTTTACTTAAAAACTGGCAGGTTTGATAGAATAAGAACCCCTTTAACAATTCTCATTGATGTACAATAGGGGGGGGAAAGAGCTTTTCTCAAGACAAAGGATGTTGTTACAGCAAAGTCTGGGGTTCCCTTGTGCTTTTCACCCCTAGATGTGGATCATCCTGGAAATCAGATCCCAGCAGTTATGTACTGTGCTGTTATTCAGGTGAAAGAACAGGGTGAGGTGAGCCTGGCTGGCCCTGCCATGAGCATTCCCATTCCCTGGCTTACACAAGGCTGGGGAAGGCAAAACTCTGCCCTGGTGGCTCTCAAGGTTTGCTTGAGCCTGGCTTATCCAGAGCCAAACTACCTGGGAGTGGTGCAAGAGCGATGGGCCTGACCTATCTGTGCTTCCTCAGGGCTGAGAATGGCTGCAGCTTCCCCAGCAAGGGATAGACTATTCCACAGGAGAAATTCCAAAATAGAAAGTCTTCAGTATTTAGCTGACAACCTTTATGGTCTTAAGGGTTGAGAATTTGGCAAGCAGAAGTGTTGGTTAAGCATATTATCAGGTCTACCCTATACTCCAGTAGATTTTGCTATTTAAATTACCTTTTTTGACAAGTAAGTGT